GAACCGGAAACCTACTTCGGCTGTGCATATCAGAAAAATTCCATCCGACATCCATCTTGGTTATTTGCAATACCTGCAACGGACGGAGCCACCTTTAAACCTGTTCGGGCCTTAGGTCAAAACAGGGAGCGAAGTCAAATTACAACCACAGCCTCCATGTTTTTCCACAACTTTCACAATACAACGGCACCTCCTGATTACCGGGGCATTCACAACTCCACCTAGCAACGTAACCCCCTTCCTGTTTAAACCCAACTTTAATTCGGTTCCCATCAGCGCAAACGAGGACCTACCAGCAGCTATTGGTACCTCACACCGTCTGCCCCAGAATATACCGGAATAAAATATCCAGCGATCGCTGGATTGCTATGGGCCTACTAAGGAGCATTTTTCTGATTGCGCCCCATCCGCCAATGCACAGATGACTACACCGCGCCTAATTGTAGAGCTCTGTAGCTGCAATCTTCGCCGGCCAAGCACAACTATCAGGCAGCAACCCAAACAGCTTGTCAACCACAAGAAGCACCTGACTGTCGACACCAAATATCCCTTACCCACCGCATTGCTGAAAGTCTCCAAGGCATGCAAAGATATCCAAATCAATTGCATGTACTACAAAGTAAAATCGAGTAGAAACCGTCTTCGAGAGTGGACATGGAATTTGGACAGCAGCTATCCAAGAGATGAAGTGGCATAGCAACTTAACGCTGTCGTTGCACCGATAAAATTGTAATGGCTTAGCATTCATTACATAGCACGACGTTTAGCTATCTGGTCAGACGATGTCGAGCTCGAAATATCTTATATATAATACTGCCGCCTGCTACCAATCAAGATATCACCCTGGTATAGGTGCGCTCCTCAGTGGTGAAATCCGTATGATAGTGGGTTATTTTATCGCTCACCACGATCTTCGGCATGCAAGCGTGTCAAGCGATCTAACGCGAATTTCATTGGCAGAGAAGATAGCCGCTTCGTCTTCCTCGAGTAGCTCGTTTGACATATTAACTGCATGCGCAGTATGATATTCTATTTTTTGGCAAACACCAAGCCATTTTCCTATTCTCACATAATCATCTTGATGACTTTACTTCTGCGGATCATGGCTGCGCTAAATTTGCCGAAAGCAACTTTACCGCTCTTCACTGCAGTGGAAACTCGATTCATTCTGTTCGCTTGCTTGGCAGAAATCCCCCAAAATCTCTGGGCTGAAGCGGCTGTATTGGCAAGCAAGCGTAACTATATTCGCCGGGTCGTTCCCGTAGATACACGCGATCTAAATTTTGAGACTCGACAACTGATAAAACACCACAATTAGAAAAAAGGAAAAGAACCCTTAAGAATGCTTAAGCAGAAGTTACTGAATGAAAAGAGGCGCGAATGGTGTTAGTTTCTCATTTCATGAAAGTTCAAACCACCCTTTACCGCTAGAAAAAAAGTTCTAACTAAAAAAAAAACAAAATCTGACATTTGAAATTCGAATTTAAGGAATTAATCATTTCAACCCGATTTCAATGGATACCCATCTTTTAGTAATTCATTTAACTTATTAAGACCCAATTTCAGACAACCTATTTAAGTAGAAACTGTTGGTTATCTTCAACAATTCATTTTCAGATCATATATTTAATCTGCGCTTAAATGGCCAATACTGGCTATCTAAATATGATATATGCAACCCTGTGTTTGTACCAAACAACCAAGATTGATATGTAAGTTGTTTTGGCAAGATGCCAAACAACAATCAGCTGTTCAGCACAAAATGTAAAAAAACAAACAAATGCAAAAACAATTTCAAGGAATAAACAACAGAGTGGCCACTTGTTTGGCATATTAAAAAAAATTTTAAAAATGGATCTGAAACACAACGAAAGCTTAATGGCATTTAAATCGCAATCCAAAATTAAACTCAAGAGCGGTTTGGATATTTAGTTGAAATTGGCACTAAGTAATTTTAATTTAATTTTTTCAACTGCTGGAAATCCTCTTCAAGCACGTCAAAAAATTCTAGCTGTTCAAACTAAAGATTTCTTAACACTGTTTCGTGAGACGTACATATTTTAATATTTTCATATACATAACTTGTATGTTGAAGTTAACTTAATTCGACTTTTCAAACAGGTGGCAACCCTCTTCAAAATATTTTCAACTACTACCCTCTTAGACCTGTTCCATCTGGCACACATATGGTGATACAATTCTCCGTTAATTAAATTTTAATAGTATTTTTTAAACAGGTGGCAACCCTCCTACATGTAGTTCAGAAATACTGCTTGTTCAAAACTATTTTGGTTGATATCCACTTAGAAAGAATTTATTAATGGCTTAAAATAATTATACCCGAGCGCACTTGAGCCTAAGGCTTATTATAACTTTGTACACATAGCATGCATATGTTTGTAACGGGCAAAACGAATCGAGATATAGACAAATGTATGAACAAATGATCAGAAAAAAGGGGAAATCGATTAAACCATGTCTGTCTGTCCGTCCGTCTGTCCGTCCGTCTGTGCATACGATAACTCGAGTAAAAATCGAGATATCTTAACGAAACTTGGTATGTATACTTCTTTTCAGCGGACGGATGCTGTTGAAAATGGGCAAAATCGGACAATAACCACGCCTACGTCCCATAGGACGGTAATTAAGAGAAATACGAAATTTTCGATAAATCAGTAAATATTAAAGCTAATTTATTCAAAAATGATGCCTGCAATAACTCTCTAGCAAAAAATACGTTTGTGATAAAATTATGGAAAATCGGCGTGGTACCGCCCACTTATGATCACATATATGTATCTCGGTAACCGTTCTACCAATTTGTACCAAACTCGGTATGGTTATGGTGCTTGCCACATAAAAGCAAACCGTTGAAAATTATTAAAATCGGACCAAAATTACGCCCACTTTGCATATAACAGTAAATTTCAAAAACGCCTGAATATTTGGAAATTTAAGGACGCTAATTCACTCAAAAGTGATACTAAAAAAATCCCTTGAAAAGAAGTAATGTTATTATGGATTTTTGGGAAAATGGACATGATACCGCCCACATATGACTATATAAGTTTATCTCATTATGTCTAACTGAACGTTCTACCATATAGCAGTGGTTTTTGGAAAGCTGAAAAAACTATATTTAATACTTACGCCGGGTATTTAATGTTCGGCTTCGCCCGAACTTAGACTTTTTTACTTGTTTTATTTAAATTTTTACTGGTGGCAACCCTTTTCGAAGAAGTAAAATCTTATTGCACATCTACAGGCCAAGCCTTTTAATCTGACAAGCCTTTAATATGAAAATCCAATGAACGTGGCAGATCTGTTGACTTGGACAAAAATTCTCTTTGCGTACTAAACTATATCGTTGCCTGGGTAAAAGTTTGTCGTGTGTTGCCTTCGGCAGGTTTTGGGAAATCGCGATTGAAAGTCGGAAAGAAATTTCTCAAATACGCGAATATAGATTTTCTTCAAAGTCTCGGAGAATGTTCAAAGTTTATTTTTAATTATCTTTTAGCTCATGAAGGATTTTATTTGGGGAAATTTTGATCGTATGCTACATTCAATATATCAGCAATTTACTTACCTTGTATAACATACGACAAAATGTGAAAAAATTTTTTACTATACCATAATTTGTACTCAATACCGCGGAAACTAAGGGAGATATCCCAAAATGGAAAACTCCATTTGAAATCTCTTGATTAGTTTGAATGCATTACTAACTAAATTTTTACTAAATTACCGATAAAATTTTAGTCAGTATCTCGGAAACTAACGGAGATTTTCGAAACCTGATTGCACCAATCGAAAGATCTTATTTTAAGCTATGTAACTTCATTTGGAACTAAAACTCGTTAAACTGGCTTTTAAACAAGCGGCGATATAGAGATGATCGATTCGTCTTTAGCTCCGTTAAAATGCTCGAAAATCTTTTAAAATTTGATTGATATAGAATCCGAAATATAAGATTTCGGAAAACTTTACTCACTACTCAAAAGTAAAAAATTTTTCTGGTTTTCCAAAAATAGAATCCATTTTTCTTTATAACTGAACCAATTTCTCCAAAAGAACCGTCGTTTCTTCCCTCAACTTAGGAGAGTGGGGGGCTTCAGCTATCAGATATTTGTCGGAAATATTGTATCCGCGATTTCGAGTTTTAAATTTTCATGATCATAGTCGTAATCAACAACCCCAAAAGCTCCCGAGTAACAAGTTTCGAGTATATTTGATGATTACTTCGCTTCCAGCTGCAACTACATACAAACATACATAATAATAGTTCTCTCCCCTAATACGAATGCTTTAGTTTTCCTACATCCGAAATGAGGTCTTTGATATATAGCAGCCTGGAAACGCACATATGTACATATTTGAAAATATACACACACATGCATCATACCTAGATACATGTAGTAAGTATAAGTGTAAAAGCACTCACACATTCACGTCGCATGAATATACCCTGCAAAAAATGCGACTAATCCGGGATGACTCCGGGAGCAATCTCAAAGGAACATGCGACTAATACCACATTTGATCTCTTTATATGGAATGAACTGTTCGCTTTTGTTCGAGCATGTCCTATGAAGAGACTAATTGTTCACCTTTATACCCGAACGGGTATAAAAAGCGACTATTCACTTTTAAAAAATAAAAATAAAAATTTGCGCCAGCTGAGATTCGAACCGGGGTGCTCAGTTTTGTTAGGCGAATACTCTCTCTGTGTGCCAACGCCGCACATGAAATTTCATTTACTCAGTGCGTACATATAATTAAATCGTTAATAGTACCCGTTAGAGATGAGTCGGGGACTAATTGATCTCCAATTATACCCATAAGGGATGAGTCGAGACTAATTAACCTCCATTAGTACCCGAATGAGACTAGTTGGGACTAATTAATACCCAATTGTACCCGATTGAGAGTAATCCCGGAATACTCTCTTTAGAGATTAGTCGCACAATTTTTTGCAGGGATCTTTCAACAAGTTCAATTACCTTCCGTTTGATGGCAGTGGAAATCCGTCCAATGTCCATGAAATTTGCGGTGTTGGATTTCCGGCTGCTGAGCATTTCAAGCTCACAGCCGGTCCCGGCTGCAGTGTTTGTTCGATGAAGCTGTACAGCAGTACTGGCGGTGCATCTACAATGAAAAGGTAAAAAAAGGCAAAGCATCAAAAAAATTGTTTGTATGAAAAATTGTGAAAAATATAGAAAATAGCGCAGACAAGTGAATGAGCGGCAAAAGTGAATGGGTGAGCGAATGACTGAGTGCAAATGAATGAATGCAGTGATTGTGAATGACAGAGCGGTACAACAACAAGGTTATGCATGCAAAGCGCATGCAAAAAAATATAATATAATATTTACATATTTGCATATAATATTTAACTTTGCTTTATTTACGTTCATTTATTTGTTTTCACGCTTGGCTTGAACTTATATATACATACATACATATACACATACATAAGTCAATTATAGGGTGTGGATATTAAAATGAATTTACATATATCTAATACCCTTTCGGAATCTTGGGGAGCTTTTTAATAAACGTTAGTGGTTTGTTGTTAGATATACATTGAACACAAAAAAAATTATTATTTTTGTAGGAGCATGGTTCCAAAATTATGCTTCTCCCAATATACCACGTCTATGGGAGGTGCCATAAACACGCTTGATCTTGCGTAGAATAGTTCTCTCGAAAGCACCCAACGCCTTCTCATCGTTGTTCAACATCGTCCACGTTTCTGCGCTATATAGAAGATCAGGCATGACGATAGACTTCTAGAGCGTAATTTTTGTTCATCGAGGGAATTGTCTACCGAGCTCAAAGTAGCAACAGTAATTCTTCGCTTGATCTCCAAGCTGACGCTATAGGTAGTATCTATGCCTGGTCCTAGGTAGACAAAGTCCTTCTTTACTTCAAACCAACAGTGACTTTTGCCCCGAAACGCGTCGACTCTTTATATGTTGCCAGGGGGTTTTTTTTATTGTCTACATTCACCGCCAAACCAACCTCTTTAACTTGTTTTTCTAAACTGGAAAATACTGCGGTAGAGTATCTTCCGTCTATCACAATATTATCTATTTGATTTTTCGTTCTTTTATCAGGAGACACCCAACTGGCTTTTTGGATGTTTCGATGCTGGTGTCTGGTACTATTAGCTACCATGTTCCGTGCCGTGGCAAAGTCGATCAGCCTCCCTCCTCTGTCGAAGGTGTTGTTGTGAAGGCTGAATTTTCCGAATGTTGGACCAAAAATGCCTTCCTTACCCACCCTGGTGTTAGAAGTTGCCCGGCTCAGCGCCACTAAGTTATTTGCAATCGTATGCTGCGAACGCCGCATTATACTAAAGCCAGCCTTTCGACATAAGTTACTATTTCATACGAACACAGAGATATTTCCTCTAAGCGCTCGTAGAACTGCTCTTTAGTTTCATCATCCTTCTCCTCCGTCGGGTCGTGCGCACAAATGAAGCTCAGGTTGTTTAATTGAACTTTGATGCGGATCATGGCGAATCGTTCATTGATGGTAGTGAACCTGGAGACAAGCTGATAAGCAGAGATTTTTGCTATAAAATTGTCACCGTGAAAAATTGCTATATTTTTGAATTAAAAAAATTGGCCTTTTCATTTGTTTTATTTATTGAGGGCAAGCATACTTTAATTTAAAAACATCTGCTTTTGTTACCTTCGAATTGACTCTACTGTAGTCTTATTTCTGTAACACCCTGTACTACAAGAATAAGTCAACTTGTTTTAGTTTTTTTCAACGCCACCGATTTCGAATTTGTCATCTCTTTGATTACTGCATATACATATATAAATGTATATATATTAAAAAGTACACATTTATTTATAAATATACTGCCATTTCAGCTACTTTGATTTATTCGCATTTATTTTGAGCTGCAAAAAAAAGATTCTGCAAATTTGCATGTCTCTTCAGAGCCAATTTAAATAGCTGCTTGGTTACCAATCAAGAGAATTGACCAGCTCAATTATCGATAATTTTGATGAAAAGAAATAGGTAAAATTATACAACTACAATTAAATTTAATGCATGCTAGTTTCTGAATAAGAGAAAAGTTTTTTGCTATTAATTATTTATATTTTATGAATTTTATTTGATATGCAAATATGCAAAATATCTGCACACCCTTTTTGACTGTATCGTCACTAGACACGAATAAAGGCGCAAGCTCAAAAGTTGACCCGAAAAAAGACGCATAAGAAAAACTTCAGCGAAGAAAGGCGTCTAAATCTTGTCGACGGCGAAGGAAGACGCGTAAGTCTTTCTTCTTTAAGACAAAATGTACAGAAGCAACCACAATCGGCTGGACTGGAGCTAACGCACCACCCATTTCCCTTGCTGCAGAAAAAACTCACAACGAAGGCACATAACCGTAGCAATATTGATACATAGGTTAGCTATCAACAGATACGGGAAGTTCAAAGACCCACAAAAATATAGGGGGCCTAGTTAAGGTGCAAGAGTACAATCTACAAGAGAATTCAATAAATCTGGTTTTAAAAATTTAATTGAAAATGAAATGAAAATTAATAGATTGCTTAGAGGAAAAGTCTACCGCTAAGTCTTAGCAACGGCACCAAAAAAAGAAGTAATCAAAGGACCATAGACGTCATAGATGAAAGTAATAAAGAAGACAGGATTCTGAGGTACCAATTGAAGTGGGCCAAACTGATATCGCCAAAAGTAGAGCTACAGTTTAATCAGGAGAACTCGTATCCGCCCTAAACTTCCTCCTATCTTTTCACATGCCGTTGAATTTACTCGAATAGTCCCAAGAACCGAATAGGAAACGTTGTTGAACTATCTGTTTAATGGATGAAATCTATATTGTATGAAACGTATTAGTAATTACTATTTACTCATCACTGAATTGGCTGAAAAATCCTGGCCAGGACATTTTTAACTAATATTCAAAAATGATTTTTTTTTTAATTTTGCACTCATTTTTTTAATGAACAAATTATAAACCGACCGAAAGTATAAGCTCTATTGAATATGAAAATGTTGGGCTGTCTGTAATTTTAATAGCCTACTTATTGGGTTGGCAGGTATAAACAGGTAGGTTAAGTTAGGTTACTGTTAACTCACTTAGACATTATTTAGAGTTACCACCTTACACAAATTCTTTGAACTGTAACAATAGGTTTTCTATTTTAAACTAAGGGAAGCGCTGGCTGCTCACAACAAAGTTCCGCAGGCAGCTGATGTCCATTCCGTAGAGCTTTTCGGGAGTGTTGATGAAATGTGCACCGAGTTGCTTAAACCGTAGCCTAGCGAATGCCGGACAACTGAGAAGGAAGTGCTGAGATGATTCCACCTTGTCTTCCAGACAGCTGTGGCAGTAGGGATCCTTGACCATATTAAGTCGCATTGCGTGGTTTCCTTAAGAATAATGTCCGGTTACTACATCTGTAAGAACCGAGAGCTGTTGCTTAGCCAACTGCAGTAGCTCCCTTGACCGTCTGCGGTCAACAACCAACCAGGAAAACCTTGCAACTTTGCATGTCGGGGTTTTTGCCCAGCACTAGCTTAACCGACCGTAAGCTCATTTGTCTAGTAGTAGGCTGCAGACTGACAACGGGGCTCCTATGCTCTCCGAGGTGTAGGTCTCGAGGGCGACCTGCCTATGAAACATCATTTTTGAATATTTAATAAAAAATATTCTGGCCAGAATTTTTTCAGCCAATCCACTCGCGAAATATTTCCAAGCACGTATGTATATTTCATATTTCAAAAGTAGTGACACAACTCAAAGTTTGGTATGTTTGAAATTATGCAGTCAAAATGCACATAGAGCTTGTATTTACCTTTCAGCAAAAGCTGGAGCCAATTTTCATTATAATTACGTTCAGAAATAGTTTCGCATTTTCTGACGAACGTGTAATTTTGAGTTGTTTCACTTTTGAAGATTGTGTGCTATATGGGTGAAGGTCGTTTCTTATTCGGATCTTGTACTAGAATAACTTATTTTTTAACAGACAAAGTTTCCTTTGAAACTAACTGCGGTGCATTTTTTCTAAGTCTGTAAGCAAGTGGACAGCTCTCGAGTATAGGCCAAACTTCGCATTTTCGCTTGTTCATGTAGGGATATTTAAAAAATCTGAGCTGATATAGCAATTGAGAGTTCAGATTTAACCCAAAGTATATTAGAACGGTTTAGCTCAGAAAAGTTTTCTCGTTGATTGGTTTAATGGGATGCTTCTATGTACAATCATAGTGCTAAACTATACTGAAACAAGTAATTTTTAAGCAAAAAACAAAACCGATTTCAATTCTCATATAAAAATTTACGAGTACCGTTAATTTTTTAATGGGATTTTTAAGGGACCACCTCTGAGACACTACCTTTCCGATGCAAAAATAATTATCGAAATCGGTTAACGTGGTTCAAAGTTATGCGGTAACATACATAAAATAAAATAAAATAAAAATAAAAATAAAAAAATAAATATTCCGACGAACTGATAACCTCCTCCTTTTTTGGAAGTCGGTTAAAAACATTCGGACCTCGTTCGTGTTTTCAGAACTTTCGTTAAAATTTCAAAAATTCTGTATACATATATTTCAGTACTGTCAAGCTATAAATTTACCAAGCAGGTGTTACGTAACTTAAAGTATAGGCAGCTTATTGAATAGCAAAGATTTTCGCAGAGCTATTATGTGGTTAGCTGATTCACCGTTTACCACATCCGTTATGCTTTCGAAAGCTTAATTACCACTACACCTAGCGCAATTTATTGGCAACTACCAGCTGCCGAAAGCCACTTATTTGGCCAATGACCTCTATATGACCTTACACAAGTGCAAAACTGCTGTTGTGCACAGCAATCTCAGAGTGGAAATGCACGGGCATATAATTGTATTGGCGAGTGTGTTGTACAAATTTATGTTGACGATAGTATATAATGGTATATACTTATTACCCGCGCATGTGTGTACATTAGGGTGGTAAAAAAGTTTGATTTTTAATGCCCTCACCCCTTAGGATCATTGTTGCCAGAACTTTTGCCAAAAACCAGATAGCTGAATTGTTGCAACTAAAAATCAAATTTTTTATTTGAATAAATCACAAGTAGAATGACTAGTAAATTCATTAAATTCTGTACTCCGTAAGGAAAATTTCAAGTTTTGAAATAACACCAAAAATGCCGAAACGCATAAACATGATTTTGAATCGTAGATTACGGCTAGAACTTTTATTAAAAAACAGCTCTTTAACAGTTATTTTTTTACCCTTATTGAATTACTCCTTAAATAACAGTTATTTCTGATTTTTATTTTATAAACCAGAATTAACAATTATTTTTGATTTTTATCTAAGCAATCTGCAAATAACTGTTATCTTTTATTTGAATTATATGTCTTAGATAATACTTATAGAAGACCGTTTTTATAAAAGTCATAAATAAGAATGAGTCAGTGATTTTTCTTCTAATAATCTTAAAAGTCAAAATTTTTGATTCTTGTGAAGACCATAGTAAATTCAAACACATTACTTATATAAGGCTTAAAGTAAAGGGGAATATGTAGATGAAGAAAATGATAAACATAAAAGTAAAAACAGAGATAAATGTAATGAAAAAGATGAGGATGAGGATACCGATAAAAGTAAAGATGAAGACAGAGGAAGAAAGATTAAAATAAAGGTATTTATAGAGAAAAAATATAAATAGAGTCAGAGAGACTGAACCTGGGAACTATTTTGGGATTTTAGAGATTTTCGGGATTCTCGGGACTT